CTTTCGTGGACTACAGCATCCGAAGAAGTGGGCTGTAGTCCACGAAAGCTTATGCTCTAATAAATTTGTTAGTCTCTAAGGTGCCACAAGTCCTCCTGTTCTTCTTTTTGCGGATACAGACTAACACGGCTGCTACTCTGAAACCATTCTGTAGGGGGAGGATCATGCCCTTAGATGCTCCTGTATTAGCAGAGAAAACACCATCTGTAATAGGATAAGAACTATAGTGTATGCTGTCGACTTCTTCCCAGGACACACAGTGAATCTGCTTAGAGAAAATCTGCTCTTATTTCCTAAATATCTGAGTATCATTATGGTTCAAACCAAAAGAGAAGAGCAGGAAAATCAGCTCCCCATCATGAATGTAAAGGAAGTAATTAGTTTAATAAACACAGAACACTCAGAGAGGCAGAAATTAAGGAGATTTCCAAACGCTTATCCTTTTTGTGTCCTGGAAAGCATTATTTTCAGAGACTGTCTAGAGAGAAGAAAACAAAGCCAAGAATTAATCCTGTGAATAACTGAATGGAACCTTTTCAAAGGAAAGAGTCAGTGGTAGGCACTACAGAACAGGATAGATCTTGGATAGGTAGCAAATAGAGATAAGGTGCAATTACAAAATTATTGATCACAAGTTCTGTCCCAGAAGATATGGAAGCACTATGCCAAGAAAATGTGGTTATTTACAACAAAAGACCCAAATGTTAGAGATCTGGCTTATAGAATCTGCCCCCAGACAGTTAATTCAGTCCAGAGCCTTGGATCCTTTGGACTGTAATGCTACTGGATGCCTAAACAGCCCTGGCAAAACCCTACCTACTTCCATATGCAACTGGCCAGAAAATAGCACAACCACCGTGACCCATGTATTTATGGACTTGAAGCTAGGAATGAAGCCACATGCCTCGCTAAGCCTCCGGTTGGGACAAAATGCAGCAGCCTCTTTGTGTAGCAACACAGGTTGTTGTGAACACATCACCCAAGGCTTTGCTTCCTGTACTGGCTCCACACAGAATATAGAGTACAGTCCAAAGTCTCTCTCCTGATACTCATATTTCCAAGGGACTGGCCCCACTGCCTACTTGTAAGAATCAGATCACCTCTCCCTCCATAATCATGACCTCTCACAATGGCTACATTCTAATAGAATAATAGAGAGAAAGAATGAGAAGGAAAAACAACAAGATGGTAAATGCCACTGCATCATAAAGAGAGGTCATTTTCTTCACATTACCTATGGCCAGTTGGTGACCCTGGTTTTAAACTTCAGTAAGGGGTGCTTATGCCTCATATGCTCCGAAAAGCTAGCTGGATAGATTAACCGAGCCCAGCAACATTTTATTTAGACAAACACATTGCCTGAAGCTAGTAAAAAAAAATCTGTCACTAATAGGGACCCTAGTTCCTTGATCATTAGAATTAAAGTGCTATACATCCTTGCTTATTATACTACATCCATAGAACTTGTAGAATGTATTGGACCCTACACCTGATGCAGAAAGATGCTTTCAAAACAAATAGAAAACAGCACCCAAAAAACCCCCACCCTGAATTTCCCTCAAACAAAACTCAATTATCCAAATATCCTTTTTATGGGGAGGGGTTTTCAGGCTTCTTGAGCTGTCTGTGCCCAGCTCCCTTCAGCGGCTGGTGCTTCTGTAACTAGGACCGAGTGCTCACAAGCTTATTTTTGTCTCCCAAACTATTATTTTTGGTTTAATCTCCTTAATCTTCTTCTGGGATTGCCTGACCCTTTATCGGGCAAAGAATAGCTGTACTGTTGCTGCTGCTACTGCTGCTGCTGAACGTGAGTATGCAACCACCCTCACCCACACACATGCAGCAAACCCCCCTCATGTGACCACACAGGTGAGAAAGTACAAGAGAGCTTGTTCATGTGCTCTATTTCCAATTCACCCTCTAAATTCAACCACATGGAAAATAGCCTAACTATTGTATTTCACATGCATTATTCTACCCAGCTATAATATGGAAAGTGCTGGCCAACTGGTAGAAAAGCACATCAAGAATTACTATTTAACCAGATATGAAAGAGGTTTTTGGTTCAGGTTTGGTTGGAAGTGTCAAAATTTGAGCTGCTTGTCTCAAAGAGATTAGCAACACTATAAACTGCTTCCACTGGACTTTTATAAAAAATATCATGGAAATATTTCTATTGGCCTCATGAATGAATCATATAGGCCATTTTCTTAACCACGTCTGCTTTAAGGATCAATGGGAGTTACAGATACTCAGAACCACTGAAAATCAAAAGATTTATATATGGATTTAGGAACCTAAATGTAGATACCCATATTTGAAAATTTTAGCAATAAAACCTAAAACTGGGGCTAAGTTTTGCCTGACACTAGTATCCCTTTAAACAGAACAGTATTTACAGGAAAAAAAGATAATTAAAGGAGAAATCGGTCTTTGAGATGTCAGGACAATGCTGACAGTCTATAAACCGTAAGTAGAAGTGGCAAGTATTCCAGAGGGGTTATACATTTATCAGCAGCTGAATCTGAAGCTATTTACCTCAGATTCTTTATCATGTGGGAAGAATGCCTTCCACCTTTCACACTTTGCCCCACAGAACAAAGCTGTTGCATCAGAAGGTTGTGGTATTTACATCATGACATTGTGAGAGTACATTGCCTCAAACCCAAAGCCAAATTAATGTCCTGATAGTTGTGAAACAAACAGTCATGACAAGCTCAAGACTGTCCTGTGAAAGAAAAAGGCGATAGTGGAGGACCTTTCCCAAGCAAGGCATTCATCTAATGAAAAAAGCCTGCAGCATATAACCCAAATTTGATCTTTGGCAGGAATTGTAGCAGTTAAACATTTCCTGACAGGTTCTTTTGTACCTGAGGAGAACTTACTTGCCATCTGTGTTTCTGGTTTAAATAAGGTTTGATCATTCACATTTAATGCTGTGTTGCAGCAAACATTGACTTAGCCTCTACAGGGCATCCAGTTAGAACCTACATGATTTCATCTCCAGGTTGCCCTGTTGTAAGACCCCTTATAAATCTCATTTGTGCTTTGGGCTAATTAACCTTCTCAATCCTGGTTCTTGGGCTGGATAAGCTAAGCAATGCACATGTAAAGTCCAAAGAGTTCATCTGGATTGGGCAAGGTAAGCTTCTTTTTCTCCTCGTATTATAAGAAGCCATTTGGGAGAGGAAAAAAACGCATTACAAGCACCACTTACTTTCATGCTTCTACCAAATTATCCTTGCAGTAAAGCTGCAGACAGCATGGCACATTTCAAAACATTGACAATTTATCCACTAAGAAAAGCAGGGGGAAAACCCTTTTTCAATTGAAACGTGGACAGTGAAAAGCGGTCTATACTCTTCGGTGGGAGGGGGAGGCGAATACATGTAAGCTCCGATGAGAAGAGTAAAAGCTAAGTGCCCAGCATCGATAAGCTTTACATTATGTACTTTGCCTCAAGGGAACGCTTATAACCCAGCTGACAGCCCCTGGCATTCATTGTGTCAGCAATTATGAACTAGTCAGTTTCTTCTCCCCTCACCCCTACCACATGCACATGCAGACACACCCTATTGGTCAATACCAGCTCAGGATTTAGGAGAAATTATGCAGTACCTTCCAAACCTGGGTCAACTAGTTGTATCACGTTGAGCAATATGAGATGCTTCACCCACTGAACCACATCTACCCTGGTCCGGTGACTGTGTGTTTTTTTCCCAAAGGGAATGATTCAGTCTGCTAGTAACATGTTGTACAGAGCAGTGGAAAAATCTCTGAATAAAGGGACAGGCTCCTTAAGGTCATGGCTGTGTGTTTTGTTTTCATGCAAGCACTTGACATTCAATTTTAATTGCTAGCATCCCTACTGCAACAGAATAAATGCTTGAAGTGAAAATTAGATATTTCCACAGGAGATACCTCTTGAAGATCTTGGTTTCTACCACTCCATGGTACAAGAAGAGGGGAGAGTGGGTCCAAATATGGCATCGGATGGAGTGAAGGGAGAGGAGGGTCAATAGATGGATAAGAGATATGAAGCTAATAAGTAAGTGTCATGGGGTGGTTTCCGAATTATGTTTCAAGAGGGTTTTTTTACATTATAATTTTTGTTAAGAAATACTCTATGTTCCTCGCCACCTGAGTTGCTCAGAATCTCATGGTTCTTCACCTTCCATGGGAGCTTTGGAATTACCATAGTACAGGGGTCCCTAACGCGGCGCCCGCCAGGGCATCTAAGTGCCCCCACGTACTGGCCGGCGGACGAGCATCCGCTGAAATGCCACCGAGATGCAGCGTCATCTAGATGCGTCACCGCCAAAATGCCGCCGATTTTCGGCGGCATTTCGGCAACGACGCCTATTGATGTTGCCGCTTGTCGGTGGTATTTCGGCGGATGCTCGTCCGCCGCCATGGTCCTCCGTGGCTCGTCGTCTGGCGCCCGCCAGACGAAAAAGATTGGGGACCACTGCCATAGTACACTTTCCGGTGCCTGATTCTCCACTGTCCTGCACTTTGTGTAGTTGCTTATACACTTGTACAAAACAAGTGCAAAATGCTACTGCATCTAAATAATAACCATCCACACCCAGTTGGGAAGGTATAAATGACTACACAAGGTGCAAGACAGTGGAGAGTCAGACCCTGTTTTTTTCCTCCTCTCTGGGCATTTATAGTGTACCCACCACTGTGGTATTTAGGTGCCATGTTGCAACGACGGGGGTTCCTTCACCTATATTCATCTTCTGATCCCACAGTAAAATACCCATGGTGTGATCACACTGAGGTGATTTACTGTAAATCACACAGACTCACACTTCTTATTTAAAAGTTTCTATAGGAATTCCATATCAGTCCTAGGGTAAACAGTGTGATCCTTAATCCAGTTACTTCACTGTGGGACTGAGACATACATATATACTATTGGTTGGACATTTCATACATTTCTCAGAACAACTTAGGACTGACAGCAAGGTTTTCAATTATGCCTTAGAATAAAAGGTCCATAAGGGGACAGGAATTGAGGAAGTTAGCCTAGAAGGCGAGTTGCCAAGGTGTATGTTTGATATACTTAGGGATATGCGGCGCGCGCACACACACACACACACACACACATAAATTAATTCATGTGGATGTTCCTCATTAGTAAATGAATAGAATTAGATTGTTCTCTGTGTACTTCCTAACTGAAGCTCCTGTTAAAGTCATGCATATTGAGTGAAACCCTCGCCCCAGGGCAGTCCATGGGAATTTGTCATCAACTTCAAAGGGGCCAGAACTCTTGCTGAAAAAAATTCTATCCTGAAAAATTAAATGGAGTGTGTGACAATATTCTTATACACATAAGCATGTCATTATATGGTGACTTACCAAAATCTCGAGCATCTGTTCTTGCACCAGGCTGTTTAAATGGATGCACCACTTTTATTTCAGCAGGTGGCAAAAATGATGGTTTCAGGCTGATTGTGACTATAACCTTTCCTGTAAATTTACTGGCTCTCCGGATCGTGTCAGTTTTCGGGTCTGGATAGTAGAAGTGCTCAGCAAACAGAGATATGCCAAATAAATGGTGTCTGGAGTGGAAAGGAAACAACAAATAAGTAACATTTGATTTCATCCCTATTTAATCATTTGCTTAATGTCTCCTGAAAACATGGAACATAGATCAACCATGTTTGCTTCAGATACCCTGATATACTTTTTATCAGAAATTAAAACCTGTGAACACATGATTGAATGGTTTGTGAGGTATGGTATGACAGTTGAAATGTCACTATGGACACAATATACTGTTGCTCACAACATAGCACACAACATACTGCAGACACAGTGGGGCCAGCCAAACAATTACTAACAACTCCTGCAGCTTGAGTGACTAGTTGACCAGGACTGCCCTGTTTCACAGAGAAAGTCCTGATATTCTGGCTAACTCTATTGAACCCATGGTTTAAAATGGACAACACACTATGCCATGTGCCTTTGTGGAAGGAACAATGCCTGTTAAGCATCCCCATTTCTTTGAGAGGCTACTGATTTCTAGCCCCCTCGGCTGGGTTCCTGAGCCTCTCAGGAGCAAGAGAGAGGCTGGAAATTCTGCATAGATGGCTAGCAAGAGCAGTATGCTGGCATCCATTTCCCAGAACATTCACATGGGGGGAAGAAGAAGGAGACTCTGTCCCTTCCAGAGCTCAAGGGAAAATAATATTGCCCCAGAGAACACTGGGAAACTCAAAGGAGGAAGTGGGGAGCTAGAGAGACTGGGTTGATGGGATGTGGGTAAATTCAATGGGAGCAACTCAGAGATTTGATAGTGTGCAGAGAAACTTAGATTTTATGGTAATTGTATGCAAATGAGATGACACATACTGAAACATACAATTAGGTGGCACTTTATTTGCATAAAACCTCCCAATTTCCAGACCTAGAGCCTTAACAGATATGTTTTCTGGACCAGACATAGGGCAGTTGATACAAAACACAATCTTTCTAAGGCAGTTTGTCTAAGGAGTAAATCATGTATACCAGGATGTGATAAAACCTTGTCTACAACAGAGAATTGTACCATTGCAACTTCCATTGGTGTGATTCTACTGATGTAAGTTGCAATGATGCAGGATATCCATAGTAGGCATCCTTTTTTCAAGTGCATTATTGCAATGTGTCCACACCGTAATCCTGTACCATTGCAGAAGCACTAGCGGCCAGATATTTAAAGTGCAGATAGGCACCTAGTAGGATTTTCAAAAGTGCCCAAGTCCCACTAATTTCAAAGTTGATTGAAATCAATGGGAGTTAGGTGCCTAGGTTCTTTTTAAAATTCCCACTGGGTGCCTATCTGCATCTTTAGGCACTCAAATACATTTAATAATCTAGCCCCTAGGTAACAATCCCACAGTTCCTAGAAGATCCCCAGGACTGGTGCCTTAATACAGGAGATATAGATTTCCTAAAGTCCACAGTCCTGGTCTTTCTTCCACACCTCGTAAAGTGTATGCAAAAGGAGCTTAGTCTTGTACAGCTCCTAAAATGTCCATCATTTGAGGACATTAACCCATTCTCAGGAAGTGAACAGGATGACAGAGGGGGCAGGGATGGTAGTATCTGACTGGAATGCAGGATGGGGAGTTGGTGGGGGGACTGATATACCAGGGCCCATTGGGGACAGTTGGTACTGAAAGAGGGGGTTTTCCCTAGCATCTTGAGGTCTATAGGTGAGGGGGACCATTCCTGAGCACCTCCTACAATGTGAAGAGATAGATGTGTGCTGATACAGACCTCAGGAAGAAGTCATTGGAAGGGTAAAAGGAACATTCTGGTACAGTGCTGGCAATTACAGGAGAGCAACTGTCTCTGTCCATGTTGCGGTCAGTGCATTACTGCAGAGTGACCTGACGCAGAACGCAGCAAAGATGAGCCTTGCTCCAAGCAAAAGCAATGTGCCCAATTGCAAGCACTCGTGTGTGTTCAATGTCACAAGTGCTTGTAATGCCAAAATTCTCTAGTGTAGACAAGGCTTACGATGACCATACGTGACGGAGACACTCATTGTCACTATTTCTGTTTCTCTGGAACTGACCACAGCAGTAAAATCAGCAGAGAATTGGACAGTATGTAGATCTAGTGCTGCCAGGGTCAGGAAAGCCTCCAGATTCAGCAGCTGAAGAAGACAGCAAGATTATATATGACTATCAGACAGAAGAGGAAGACAAGACATGATTGGTGGTCTGAGCACAGGCTGGAAGCCCACACTCCTCCATTGTCCTCTGAACCCACCTGCTGTGACCTGTGGCAAATCACATAACTTCTTTGCCTCAGTTTCTCCATATACAGGAAGGAGCTAATAATAATACATAGCTACTTAAAAGGAGAGTCCTGAGAATTAATGAGTTGTCATTTGCTAAAAGCTTAGGAGATGAAAAGTGCCAAGGAGGAGTACTATTCAGACAGCAATGAAAATTGGTTGTTTGTTCTATTTTCCTATCATCTTCTGGTTATATATTGGTTATTCTGAAAATGTTGTGCCATTTTGTCTGTACTTTACAATCTTTATTATTTCCAGACTCAAAGAAGAAGGGGAAGAGGATGTCTTTATCTGATATAACTCTAAAAAATATTTAGTTTCCTTCTATCCAACACAGAAAAACTTACGGGGCAGAATGTTTGGGCAAATGAATAGAGCCACCATTATAGTCACATGATCCAATGCGTGAAACATCTTCCTCACTATCATACTGGATCCAAAAGAGTCTCGTGTCAATAAAATCCAGTGAGATGGTCTTTATTTTTTCTGTGGTCCTCAAAACACTTCTCATGTCAGTTCCATCAAGGATTGCTCTGTGAACGCTGGAAAGAGCACCGTCTGAAGACCAAAATACAAACCTAAAGACAAAAAAGGGTCATATTTTGAAAGAACTATTTGCAAGATAGTGCAGCAGCTGATGCAAATTATCTGTTTAGCCCTCCCTTTTTAGAGTATTCTTCATTTTTAATCACAGTACTCCCAGAACAGAAACATCTAATTCAGAAGTTGAGTAATACCAAGATATCTGTTGCATGAAGGACAAGTCAGATATGCAGAAACTGTCTACCAGAAACAGAATGTTTACAAAATACCCTTCTTCAATACTTGTGCAGTATCACTTGAAAGTCCATAAAAGATATATATCTAAGTGGATTTGAGTCTTGCTCTTGACATACTGTTGCCATTATCCTTTACATCTCTTAAAGACCTTCGAGGCTTGCAAGCTTAAAGGCTCTCTGTCATTTAGGCAAATAATTTTAATACATTTGTTGCTTATCAGATACATTTTTAAAAATACCTTTCCTACTTTTTTTTTAACTGCAGATGTATCAGAAGTGCCAAGTCTAGTCTCCCCTGGTTTTGCTGGAGGAGCAGTTGTGGGTCTGAGAGTTTACACATTGTGAGCTCTCTCTCACTTTAATTAAATGGGTGACCATCATTTCTCCAAAATGTTCGTTAGCTATTGGAGTTAAATAGATGTCAACAATTACAAATAAAAAAAGGAGCTTTATACAGTCTGACTAAAAACAGCGTCAGCACTCAGTTCTTAGCTTTCTGCATATTTCTCCCATTATATCATAATTTCACAAGTTCTTCAGTCACTACAGAGACTTCCAGAACAGACAAGATCTGAGTGTCTAATATAAATAATTAGCAGGAAAATAAAACCTTAAACAATAAAGGGGGGAAATATGGCTTTCTTTATATATAAAAAGTAAATAGGGCAAACACCTTATTTTCCCCCTTTTCAGGACACCTTTAAGATAGGAAATAACTCTGGTTACTGCGTTGTATCTTTTAACAACTGGTGACTGTCCAACGGCAACCACTGTAGTGCTAAGATTCATTTTATAATTTTTTTCACATTTAAAAATGTTTTCAAGGGGACTGGATGGCTGAGGGAATTAGGTAACAAGACACTAGAAACTCCCCAAGGAAGATCCAGTTTAGTGGTGACCAAACATTGTTTCCAAAAGTGCAGTTGTAATCTAGCTACACCCAACAGAGAAGACAGTATTGTCACCAGGAACCTGTCATCCCTACAGGGATGCCTGCAAGTCAGGGAAAAGGCACATGACTAGGGAAAGCCTGCACTGCTTCTGGCTATGTTGTATCTCTTCTGTGGATAAATACAACTCTTCCGTTCCAAGCAATTTCAATCCAGAATCTGTTTTACAGGAACTTAACTGAAAAATACCTGTTCTACTATTTTATTGATTTCTTTTAATCTAAATATTAGGGCACAGTCAAAATATGGCCATTATCCTGCACACACTTACGCATGCCCAATGAGACTATTCACTTGTGCAAAATTACTTGTTCTCCTTGAGGTTTGGAGGATCAGGGCCTATATTTTCACATGACCTGGCTTGGCCACAGTTCCTCCAACAATATATGGATAGTTGTTTTATTTTACAGGATTAGGGGTTTTTTTTAAATTCTGTTTGCTTCTTTCTTTGTTTTACGATTACACACAGAAATTCCAAAATTATCACATTGCATTGGTTTGATAGCACTGAAATTGTTAGACATAAATATCCCATTCAGACCAAAAGTGTAAAATCATACTGAATTTGAAAGAAATACAATGCTTCTTAAAAGTACAAAATAATAAAGCCACAAAGCCTGTGTATTATCATTATTCTTATTTATATCATACCCGGAGGCCATAGTCAAGAAAGGGCCTAACTGGGTAGGTGCTATACAAATGCAGCAGAAAGACTCAGTACCTGCACCTGGAAGTTTACAATCTAATTGTTGTGGTATGTGCTAGGTCAATCTGATACAGAAACTACAGATGAAAAAATGTTTTAGTAAGGACAATATGAGGTGGCTACTATAGCAATTTTCAAGCACGGCAATAATAATTGTTCGCTCTTTTATGGTGCTTGTTATCTCAGGATACCAACATGTTTTAAAAAGGTGGGTTAAATTATATAATCTCCATTTTACAGGTGGAGAAACAGAGAAACACAGAACAATTAAAGGCCCAGTCCAATCACATAAACTTCCATTAATTTCAGCACGAGTTGGATCAGGCCCACGTGACATGCGCAAAGTCACATAGCAAATTAGTGGGAGGAATTGAAACCAGATTGCCTGACTCACAATCCCTTGCAGTACCCCTAGACAACAGCGCCTCCTCTACAGATTCTTGATCATGTCTAAACTCCACAAAGGAAATAGAGTAATACAGAAAAAGGTTGCTTTATTATTATTCTGTAGCAAAACCAGCCAAGCATATCTTGAGAAAAATGTGATTATTAATTTAGCTATCATGCTGATCTTCATTACTTGAGAGTTGTAACCATTTCCAGGAAGATATATTTCTTCTTAGTTTCTGACATTGCATATGTTTGTCCCTGTGGAAATTAATTCACTGACTGCTTGACTTCACTATATTAATATTAAAATAGAACCATCAGGACTTTCAGACAAGCAGACTGTGCTAAAATATAAAAATGATACATAAGAAAGTAGACTTCTAGGAGGACCTAAACAGTTTATTAATAGCTAACTAGCCTGACACAGCAGCATGTGAGTAATGCTTTAAAATAAATCCCTAGCTGATCACACATAGGTGTATATATACACCTTAGTCTGTCTGCAGAGTTCATAACAGTTTAGCAAATATATTTTCATTATTCCATTCACAAAATGTTTCTATGTGGCTTTAGGCTGAAAGGGTACAAGGACTTGTGACCACTTCCAAATCAGTAAATGTGACATTCAGTACAGAAATAAGTAGTCTGGCATTCAGCCTTTTAAATCATACTCAAATGCCAACCCTGTGAGGAATATAGATATTGTTGGTTAGCATGAAAAGAAGGTTAGTGTGTAAGTGCAAAAGAGGAGGACACGTGAGCCTTAACATTAAAATCGACAGCGGTGACGAGTGGCTTCATTGTAAATCAAAAATGCCAACAAAAATATTTTATTGCCATATCAATATGGAGTATCTCAATGTCTCCTCTGCTGTTATTTTAAAAGTTACCAATGAAAGAGCTTTACACAGTTAAGAGAAGTCAGCACAGAGTATTCAGGGTGATGATACAAATACAAATATCTCTTCAGACCAGCCAAATCTCCCTGCATGGATGCATCTCTGAGTGGCTCTCTATGTAAATTATTTTGAGCCTAGAGAAGCTCCCTTATCAAGTCTAAAACACTAACATTTATAGAACAGTAACAGCAGTCAGTAGCTTTACAATCGGTATACAAGCTGACCAAAATTGGAGGCAAATATAATAGAAAGAGGGGAACAAAGAAAACCACTATGGCATTAGCTGAGGGGCTCCGTGCCTGTGAACGCTCCAGGTAAACAAAATGTCCAGGCCCGCTAGCGGCTGACCTAATAGGGCAGGAGCCAAAGTTTGCCAATCCCTGAAATATAGGGTCGGCTTATGAAAGGGTCATACAGTTTTTGCTAATTTTACCTATCCATCTTGGGGGGTCGGCTTATAAACGAACGGGCTAATAAACGAGTAAGTACTATATGTTTAATACGAATTGTGTTCTAGATTGGGGCTTCTCAGCATTTTCAGGCATCTTTCCTGCTTTACCAAATGAAGATCAAGCTCATTCCCCTTAAGTCCTCCACCTCCATCAACTGAGACCTCATTGGCTCCTTCCCTGACAACCAATAACCTCCTCATTCCTCTTCCCCCTGACCTAACCCCATCTCCTCCCCTGCAATCAGAGCTCTTTCCCCTCACTTTAATGATGAACTAGGGAGGTCAGTCTCTGTGTTGGACTCTGCTGCTGCCACCTGCCACTCTATTTATCTTTATTGTGTTCTTGGGGAAGTTGTAACAATCACTTGACATTTGATCAACATACTGTACGCAAGCTGTTCTGTTAGCCTACAAGAAGCCATCAGAGCATTTGGTTATTTTGAGACTGATTCGAAGAATTTATAAACTTAGGCAGAGTTACCTTTTTCCAGGGTCAACAACAATACTTGTGGGATGACCTACATCCTTTAAAAGGACTCGTGAATTGTTTCCATTCATGTCAGTTGCTTCAATAGTTGCTTTTTGGTGGTTGGCCCAAAGAATATCTTGATTTATCCAGTTGATGGCAAACCCTGCAAAACCTTTTTCAACATAGCGTAGTCTCTGTAAACAGAAATTAAAAACATAAAAAAAACCCCAACCCCAAATTACCATCCGGAAGTCGTCACCAAACAAAGTAGTGACCTGCAAACACATTGAGGCTTCCATTTAAATCCACTGGCTGGCCTCTTTTTAATGGCACCACAGAGACTGGATTTCCTTGCTTGCTCTTTAATCACCTTGATTTGTGCTGCATTTCTCTCCTCCTGTCACCTACATCTTTAAGCACAAACCATTGAGTTAAGACATGCTAAGCAAGGATGAGCTGTTCTCAAATGAAAATCAGGCAGGGGTATCCCAAAGTTGCCCAGATTTTCCTTTTACCAAAATTTATCTTGTATTTCCTAAGCTATAAAATATCCATTCACACACTGGAAAAAGCCCTAATCCTTCAAGTTCATACATGCAGGATAAGTCAATGAGGCTGCATGTAGACACAGGAGTTCACCTATGAGGTGTTCATTGTAGTCCACTGCAGAACTGACAGCATCTTGGGGTCTGGAAGTGCTGAAGTTCCTTTGTCTTTGCCACACAACCTTAGTCAGATATAGAGCACAGCTGTTTCTGAGCAAGAGAGGTAAGGCTGAAAGGAGTGTTCATGTAACCTTAGGTCTCAATTAGTAGTTTCAAGAAAAATGTCAGGGGAGTTACGTACATTCTCTTCATACTAGCCATGCCAGCTTGGGTTTCTGAAAAAGTCTATTTGAGAAAATCCCACAATTCCAGTGATATATTTAAAGCTGGTAGAAATTAGTACTGTCTGCGAGAACAACAAACCTAGATTTGTCTGAATTTCCTCCCCATAGCCTTTATTCTATCACCATCCCCTCACCTTATTAAAGAGATCACATGTATTGTGAATGCCAGTGGGGTAGCCCACTGAACACAGACCTCCCTGTTGCTGCCAAGGCTACTGTGCCAGGGACGCACACTTCAATGCTACAATTGCAAATCTGTTTAAGCAGAAATTGCACCACTGTATCTGAAGAGTAGCCCCTCACATCAGATTTGTTATTATACATGGTTTCTTGGAGAATCCCATGGCAATTACCAGCTTACCTCTTGTTTTGTGCCGTTCAGGTACACTCGTTGCAGAAGCCCTTTTTCAGAGTCCACCCAATACATTTTCTCTTCTTTGTAATGAAAATCTATGAGCACTGATACGCCAGCATTGGCAACTAGCCGTTCGTGATTGGTCCCCTCTCCGTCAATTCTAAAGATGGCATTTCCATGGCTAAAAATTAGGAATGGTGCAGGATCTGGGGGGGGGGAAGGGAGGGAAGAAATGTGGTCATACATTGGTATTTTTCTTTCATGACACTAAATTCTTTTCAGCACTATGCCCATCACAGAGTTGGGAGGAACTTATAATACTCATACCTCACAATGTTCTGCATTCAAAGGGTCACCACCCATTTTAGTCCCAGGGTTATCTATGTTTCACACAAGTGTGATGCCCCCTCACTTTTTATTGTGGAAAATCAACAGAATAAAAAATTACAGACTCATGAAACAGAGAATTCAGAAAGAGTTATTTACACTGAAAGATGGAATCCCACAGCATTTTAAGTTTCCTGGATGAATACTATTTTTGGTGACCCTCATTTTGGGTCTCAGTCAAACTGTGTGGGGCCATCTTTGAGCTTTAGCACCTGAGAGGTACGATGTTACTAAATGGAAAATCAAAATAAAGCAATTACTGAGTAAAGCCAAGATTTTCAAGAATTGACATGCCTACATGTCTACTATAGCATACCTCTCAGGGCCCAGAAATCTGAAGACTTCATACAAATGATTCAATGCTCTAATCTGGATATTTGATAAATATGGAGCTCTTTAATAACACAGACAACAGCAACTCTCTTGATAAACCTGATAGGGCAGCATAGAACAAGCTTTAGGAACACAGGAATTCCTATGTTCCTGCTGGCTGTGGGCTCCCCCTGAGCTGTTGTTCAGGGATTTCTAGTTTCCCCTTGAGGCTCTGCCACCAGTTGCCTTGGGCTGGGAGTGGGATCTGGCTGCCTCCTACCAGCAGCTGGGGGATGCTCTAGCTTGGCTCCTGGCCCATTGGTATGCTGGTGATGGGGTCTCCCCATCTCCTGAGCCTAGAGAGAGATGGCTACAGCACTGACTAGCCCTGAGTGGCTGCATCTGTATGGTTAGTATCCTCCTAGATCGCTCTCTCTTTGGTTAGAGCAGTCTGAGCCCTAACCACAGAGAGAGAACCAGAGAGTCCTTTCAGATCTCCACACTGGGGGATGAAGGTCCTGGTGCAGAGTAGCAGAGACTGGCCAGGTCTGAGCATAGGTAGCTCATGGGCACCAGGAAAGAGCTGCACATACAGACTCGTGCAGCCACTAGTTATTACCATTAATTCCCAGACACAATCCACATTAAGATGAAGTTAGGGTTGAGAGCACATTACTAATTTAGTGCTGCAAGCATCCTAAACTCAGGGAATCCAGAACTGAGGTTAAAGGTAAGGAATGGAAATGCAGTTAGGGCACCCAAACAACCTTAACTCTGCCCTGTAGTGACATCATGCAATAGCCATATGACTTTGATTTGTACATTAGTGTGTCTGTGGCACCAATTTACATTAAACCAATTTATGGTCTTGTTAGATTTATTTTACCCTCATGATTCTCCCTATAGGGCAGAGTTAAGGTTGTTTGGGTGCCCTAACTGTGCATTTCCATACCTCAACGTGTTTGTGGATTTCTTTTTCAGAGATGAGGGCTTTTAGCAGAGAGGCTGTCTACCCTGATAGAAAAGTACCACCATGCATTCCCAACAGCACAGCCCTAGAGGCTCTAGCCAGAGTCAGAAGGGATGAGAGATATGATAACCCCCTGACCGTGACCAAACAGGGTCAGTTTGGCATGTGCAGCGTTGCAAGCAGTACACGTTTCTTTTCACTCAGGTAGTACAAGCAACTGCTTATTGACTGATATGCTGGTGAGAGAAGGAGCTTCATTATGCCAGTCATAATTCAGCCTTTCATTTTTTTAAAAATGTCTTGCATATCAGGCTGCTGCCTAATAATTAATTTGCCACCAAACCACATTTGGAGGGGAAAGCAATAAACATTTTAAAGGTAGTTTGTATGTGTATGTTTAAAAGGTGTCTGAAACTGGTCAGAGCACATGAAGAGGGGGAAGATGCATGCAAAATCTATTAATAAAGTTATCCTGAAATGTGTAACATGGGAATCACCCCCATATATATTACAGCTATAATAGTCATCCATTCACCTCTTCGGTTTAGTTTCCAATACTGAAGGGGAAATTTTAAATCCCTCAAACCCACACCCTACCACCAGTTTTCACTGACGTACTTTTAACATTCACAAGGATGAATAAGTACATCAGCTTCAATAATAGGTTTCATAAACTTTTTAAAAAATTCTTTTTAATATTAGGCATAAGCTTTGGTTCTAAACTCAGTTGTCATCATTCCTATAAAGTTGAACTAGATGTCGTCAAGATGCATAACACTTGCAAGGTGAAGGTAGACAAATAAAACTCTGTGCCTTATCCACCTCCCATCAAGATAATGGGACTCCTTGCCCCTCAAGATTCTGAGTTTGATTCTGCTTTCGAATAGCAGGTTAGGCAGCAGTTTTTGACCGGAACGCAAGATTTGGTTTATTGTTGTACATGAGGAAGTTGACCAGCACACTGATTTGTATCATGGGCTCTTTTGTACTTGGAGTTTTCAAGGTATTACCCAATTATAACAGCTGCTTCTAGGATGTTAGTGACTCTCTTTTTCTGCTGTTTGCACTGCGCAAATCCATGTGAGACTATTTCAACTATGTAGACTTGGTTTACGTAAATGGTAAATGAATGTTGAACTGCAGCAAGGTTGATTTGTCTCAGGAACCTGACAGCTGTACTGCTTGCATTTTTGCCAATTACTCCACTGACCAAGAGTTTACATATATTTTGTTTTTGTCCTCTCCAGTCAGTGAATTTCTCACAACAGTAGTTTAATTGAGGGCTCTAACTGAAGGGGAATTGAACACATTGAGGAATTTTGTTTTGTTTGGGTTCCCTGTTGTTGTTGTTATTATTTAATGTTTATACTACGTTATCGTCCAGAGACACCAATCAAGTTTGGAGCATCATTGTATCAGGTGCTGTACAAACAGACAGAAAGAGACAGTCTCTGCCCCCAAAGTGTTTACAATCTATAAAACATGAAGGAATTTTGTTTGATGGGTTTCCTACTGAGTAATTTATATCCAGAGATGGAGATATGAGCTGCAAGGCTTCTGCCCCATGTTGACAACCCCTGAAGTGAAAAGCCACCTCTCCTTTGACTGTCCACATATCATATCTGATACAGATTGTTTATATCTGATATAAAAGATACAGGACTAGGGCTTGATACTCGTATTATTCTTACAAAGAAGCACAGAAAATTACCCAAACAGCAGCTCCAGAAGCCCTTTTGGAATAGTGTTTTAAACATTGAAACTATCCCTTATAAAAATAATGATGTTCTCTGGTACCATTTTCAATTTAATGTGGGACTGTTCTCCGAAAAGCATCTGTGCACAGATGGCATTGTGAGGCTACATTATTTTCCTCTCCTTGGTGTAAACTATGTACATTTGATCTGGACAAGTAAACATAAGATAAAAATGCTTCTTTTAAACGGTCTGTGCTGCTTGTAGCCTTGTGACCTCAGCCTGGGATCCAAAAGTCAAGCTTGTTTCTGTCTGGCTCACACTTCATCAACAGTGTGAGGAAGATGCTAAAGCTAGAAAAGAGCTAACAATTCTGTTGCTGATTTGTGAGCCAGACCCAATCCAGTTCAGTCTTCCTTAGCTATACTGGCACTGGGAAGTTACCAGGAGTAAAATGTATTCAAACTTGATTTGGTCACAAGTGCTCAGATACTACAGTATTGGACATGAAAGAAGTTATTATTAATCATGCTTATTAAGGCAGTGCCTAGCGCTCAACCAAGACTGGGATCCCATTGAACTAGGACTCTGCAAACAAAAGAGTAGACAGTTCCTGCCCCAAAGAGCTTACATTCTAAATAGACAAGACAGACAGGGTATAAGGGAAAGGGGTAGCACATACAGACAGTGAACAATGTGATGGCAGCAAATGTCATGTTAGTGCCATGATTTTGGGGAGGGAGGGATAATATTAGGAGGGTTAGTTAGGAGAGGGGTGGGTGAATGGATGGATGCTATGACTCTGCACAGAGACAGGGAGCTGGTCTGTTAAGTAAGAAGGACTCATTTTTACATGCTCATTTTTCTTACCACAACCACACTTTATGTTTTGTGTGTGAACTGTCACGCTAACACCAGAGCAGGGGCCCACTCCAGTAAGCTCACTTTCCACTTTAATTTTATGTTAGCTGTGGCAGTTGTTTAATCAGCACATGACTTTTTCCCACTCCTTGTCCAGTAGCTGAGTTATGTCAAGTCAGTGCTGGGAGCAGACTAGCCTGGAATGTTTTCACATTGTGAACTGATGCTATACTGATAGATAAAATGATAATGCTCCATTCAGCAATTTAAAAATATTATCTTACCATCAGCATAACAGGACCACTTGTCATTATCCAGAGTGTAGCCAGGCAAACAGGAGCACAGATAGGACCCTGGAACATTGACACAGGTTTGGCCACAGGTACCTAGACCACCTTCAAGGCATTCATCAATATCTGAAATACAAGTACATACAGGAGAATTCAGCAAGCAAAACAGAACAAAATACTAAAAGAAAGCATGTATATGACTCAGCTAGTCTATACTATAACGTGTTAACTACAGATTTTTAATCTCCCATTATTAAAAGAGTAGGATGACTATATGGTATCATTAGCAATGGGTCTGTGGCTTTGTCAGTCAAGCTTATGGTAAGTATAAGTGAGGTGGGAGACTGTGGGTGTTGTGCTGAGAGAGTTGTGTTGATTTGTGTGTGGATTGTGTTGTGCTGGGAGTGCATGGAGGCGAATGAAGGGTGTGTGCTGCAGAGAGGGCATGTGTGTATTTGGGGTTATTGTGTGTGCCGGTTGTGTTGTTGTGAGTGGGTTGTGTTGTGCTGAAATTGTTGAAATGCAAACTAGCCGTAGAGTAAGGGTGGTGATTGGTTGTTACCTCTGCTATCACAATGGTCTAGAGGACTCTAGGCATCGCATAGATACATGCCTCTCTCTAGCTGTACGCTGCACAGGTGTAATTCGTAATCAAAATGGCTGAGAACTTCAAAATTGGACAGTAACAGGCCATGAAACCTGGTGATATTTTGATCAAAAAGAACTCTAACCCATACTTGCAGCTATTTTCATTGTGCACACTGACTCAGACATTTTAGGCTTCAGAGTGACCACACAGAATGACATTCTATTAATCATATTATATAGCTTCTTTGTTACTACAAGGGGTTTGTTCAGTGATTTATTTGTAAGGGACAAGCCAGGGAAATCCCCCTTCTATCTAATGACTATCCATTGTAACTAACAACTCTCCATTCTAAACTAATGTTCAGTAGCTTCACAGGCAAAAAGGAATGTATTTGTCCCCTGCTCTTGTTTGTTTCTGAGGTTGACATTATAATTTGCTAAATGAATTTTGACACACTACCTCAGTCTGCAGCTGCCTGACTTCTCCCTGCCAGTTCTCCCCCCACAACCTCCCCTTCTGCAGTAGGCATTGTAAAACATGCCTGAATGTCAAGGCATTCCCATTTTAAACTGCATCTAGGACATTTGGGATTCAGCTGAGTCTTGCATAGAAAAATCAGACCCTTTGAGTTCTGAGAGCAACAAGCCCAAACCAAACACCAGTCCAGTGCAACCAGTGAATCAGTTAGAAACGCTGACTTCTTAACTGACAGATTAGTCTAGAGCCTTCAGGAATCAACAAAATGCTTGATGTATTTATGCTGTATTATCGGGACTTGACGCAACAGCTACAAGAGTGAAGGACTTTTGGAGAATAAGGTCATTCCTGAAGAGCAGGTTTTATTTGGTGGTATATATGGGAAAAGGAATTAAACACTTAGGGACCACTCCTGTGAGGAGCACATCCACAGAATACAGAGAGCCCTCAGTTCCGACTGAAATCAAATGCAGCTGATGGCAACACTCAGTAGGTGTTCAGTGCTTAGAACCATCAGGGTCTTATGTATTTGTTAGCGTACATCAGAGGAAGCTAACTGGTACAGACATATAAGGTGCTCTTAATTAATGACTTTTACCCTGCATAAAATCCATTTTTCTGTCCATTATGAAGGGAGAAAAAAGCATATCAAAGGTTTCTTTTTGGCAATTTATCAACACGGTAAGTACAAGAATGTACACAAACAGAAAATGCAGCAAGAGAGCATTTGAAAAGGGCTGCAATTGATTGCAAGACAAAAAGGACACTGATTCCTGAACACATCTTTTCCTAAAAAGTCAGGAATACAGTTCAGAGAATTATAGTCACTGCATAGGTTCCTGAGGATTTTCCTTCTATATTCCTGACCTCAGACTTTGCAACAACCAAACAAGAGAAAACCTGGAGAACCCACCCCAAATTTTAATTTTAGGCCAGTGCAAATTGAAAGAGGGCTTTGGGAATTCACTGAAGGGTGTGTGAATACTCCTCTAGTTCAAATATGATCAAGAAAACTCCTAGTCATGCATCGCAGTATACCTGTAGAGAGACTTGATTTAAGGTGCTTTCGATAATCAGGGACACAGCTATTGCACTTCCTCTCCAGATAGCTCAAGAAACTGACCTTGATCCTTGCACCATAACAAAGGTTCAAGTTTTTCACAAAACTCAGCTGTTCTTGAACAATTTCTCCAATTAATTAGGTGGAGCAAACCCAGCATTAAATCTATCTTTCTTCCACTTTTATTGGCTTCTACATTCCCCTTCCTCGGTAATTCCATTTCAGCCACTAGAGAGTGTAATCTCTGCCCCAATGTCTTCAAGCACAAAGGCACCAACAGCAGATACCATAGAGGCAGCAACTTTCAGTGCTTCAGATATGTCTGAATCAGAACCATCAATATAAGGTAACTATGTCAGGAGGTGCTCCAATCCTTTTCTTAGCTGCTGGGCTGTGAAGGAAAAGCTGCTCCTCAGTGGGTAAAATAAATCAGGTTTACATTTTGAAATGTGGCTTCCCTTGGGACGTGCACTACTGTCTGTGCACAAATCATTTTTGTGCACAGGTTTCCCACACTATCACTTTAGCGCAAAAACAACAGACTTTACAAATACAAACCCCCTCTGTGTGTGCAAACTAAGCACCGACTTCATGAAACTGGATTTTGCATTTGTAAGTTCTAGAATGTATATGAATAAGGGATAACACATCAAAAAGGGTGATTACAAGTGTCTGTGCGCAGAAGTGAAGGCTGAATTGAGACTTTTGAAAACAGCCCAGATCTAAACTCATTTCCCCTTGCTCTCTTCAAACTCTCTTCCCTCAATCTCTGCTTCACACCTTCTATCATGCCATCCTGCCCCCATGCTTTGAACTGCCTCCCACTTCTCTGGTGACAAGCAACTTCCCTTTCTCCTTAAAAATAACTCCTGGCATAGAGCTCCAACATCTGCACCTATTGTTTATTAAACTGTTATTCGGTGTATTATATTTCCCTAAATTAGACAGCATGAGCCGTACAGCAGTATATACATGACAAATAATAATAACTGAATATAAAGCCCATCCCAAAAGTTCTGTAGCTGCCCAGTATAGAGAAAAACAAGAAATGCTTTCTACCCATGTACAAGCCTTTTACTCAAATACACAGTGAAACACACAGCAGTATGTTGTTCAGAGCAGATTGCCAACATGTTTAGCTGGCTACACAGAGGAACTCTGCAACATAAAACAAAAGAGAACCATAAAATCGTACTTCCTCCTGCTCTTTACCAATACAAAATCTAGTGACAGAATCAGTGGCATCATTTATTTTATTTTGAATTTATGAAATCTGACCATCAGTCACTGGACAAATTTACATATATTTTATGCATAATATTATGCTGGATGACATTAGCCCTAAAGATAATCCAGCTATCACCATAAGCACTTAGGGAAAAGTCTGAAAAACAGATGAGCAACGTACTCTGCCCTGTAGGTGAATGGACTCTCACTTTTCAGACCAATGGGAGAACTGAATTCCAAAGCCAGGGACACTCTACTAAGTAAGCCCTGGCATTCAGATCTGGGAACTATGAGCCAAAGTGCCCAGTCTTATTTCATTCTCAATATGTTGCACACCGAGGGAAAATAAACAGCAAATTTTGATCCAGCTTCTGAGCAGTGTTTGAAATGTGCTTAGCACAGCTCTAGAAGGCATGGGGCACACGTGGTTTTTTTATACCACTTTTATGATCCCCCTGGATTCTGAGGCCTGTTAACTCCCTAGCGTAGTTACAGTCGCTTAAAAACTGCTCTAATTTACACGCAGATGCCCAAATATGCTGTTCTGGCAACTGGAGATAGCTGGAGCAAAGATTCACCCTGGTCATACCACTCATCCCTCAGACAGGACCCCTCTGCTAGGGGCTGGGTGGAAGAAGCACAGAACTGCTACTTTGGCTCTATGCCATCTTTATACAATGGAAGTTCTGCTGTTTTGTTCCTTAAGTTCCCAACTGCAAAATGGGAATAATAACTTTCCTAGACCCTGGGTTTGTTGTGAGGAGAAGTTCACTACTGTTTGCGGGGTGCTCACATGCTACAGTAGTGGGGACTTCATAAATCTCTAGCTAGACAGCTACTTCCTCAGAAAGCTTAGTAATAATTATTATATAACAAGCCCCTCTCCTCAATTTCTTCTAAATGTTTTCTTTTGAAATATCTGGTTATATGATTGATTTTGATAGTAGTCTTTTGAGACAGATTCCTACCATGCTGTCCTTTTGTATATCATTTATTTCAATATGCATCCTTTGCAAAGAAAGCCTTCTTTTCCTTCTTCCTAAACCTCTACATGAAGGTTATTAGCCTACCACATTGAACTCTGCAAAATGCTACTGTGAATGTCCCCTAAACGTCACAGTGTTAGGCCAGGTCAAGCAGATTCATTGTCCCTTCATGGCGTACATGCATTGAAATAAGTTAGACAAAAGAGCAACTTCAACAAAAGTTTCCTTCCAACATGTTGCTAAGCAGATTCTTAGGATAGTTATAGCTATTAGGAAGCTGCATCTAGGATGCTTGGGACTAAACCCTGCAGCCCTTTGTCAGTCAAAACACAACAGTTTCAAATGAATAAAGGCTGCAGGATTTGGGCCTTTAATTTGAGTGCCAGCAGTATTGCCATTTGGGAGGATCAAATTATAGAATCATAGAAAGGTCAGGCTGGAAGGGATCTCGAGAAGCCATCAAGTCCAGCCCTGCTGTGCTGAATCAGGACCAAATAGACCATCCCTGACAGGTGTTTGTCCAACCTGTTCTTAAAAACCTCCAGTGATGGGGATTCCATAAACTCCCTTAGAAACCTATTCCAGAGTTTAACTACCCTTGTGGTTAGAAAGTTTTTCCTAATATCTGACCTAAACTTCCCTTGCTGCAGATTAGGTCCATTACTACTTGTCCTACCTTCAGCGGACATGGGAACAATTACTGTCCTTTTTACATACTTGAAGACTGTTAACAGGTCCACCTCAGTCTTTTCTCAGGACTAAACAGGCCTTTTTAACCTTTCCTCAT